TTTCCAAGTAAATTTTGATTCAGGCGTAAATTCGATACAAATAACAATGAATAGTGTCAAGGAAAGTCTTGGTAATCAACTTACAATAAATAATAATCTGGAGAATAAATTAATTAACACAATAGAAGCAAAATCACAAATGATCTATAATTATGCCAATGGTTCAAGGGTACATATGATTGATTGGAACGATATTCTATAATTATTATGATTGTTAAATACTTAAATATTATTTTTACGTTTAATAGGTTGTGTTTATTGGTAGACTAAGGATTCGTCTTAATTTAAGTACAATGATAGAGTATTTTGAATTCCTTACAGATGATTATATAGAATATGTGCCAAGAAATATAGAGACGTCATGTCTTATTACTGAATATGGAATAACGATGAAAACTTTAAGATGCTTAGAGGTAAATTATCTTATTGATTACTTGATTACTGCCAGAAAAAAAAAAGATTCATAAAATGAATGACATTTTATTTAATTATATAAGGTTGCTGAAATTGTGCTTACATTAAATGATATAATGTCGATGACTATTGAGCAGAAGAAAGGACCTCAATGTAAGTTTGTTATTTTATATATTATCATTAATGCTATTTATAATATTTATAATATTTATAGGTCCTTTTCTTCCAAATAGATGTATTATATCCACAGCTTCATGATTTGGTAAATATAATACAACAACAACAACTACAGAATCAACAATTACAACAACGATTACAACAACAATTACAACAACAACAACAACAGCAACAACAACAACAGCAGCAGCAACAACAACAACAACATCATACACGACAACAACATATTCAACAGCATCAGCTTCAACTAGTTGTATTATAAATAGTGTTGGTTTCCAAAATTAGAGAGTTTTGCAATTATGTGAAAGTCAAAAAGGTTTCGCCATAAGTCGAAACTAGTTTTGACTTTTGACTTTTGATTTAGTTTTGACACAACTTTTAATTTTGGTATTGACTTTCGCCTTTTCAAATAGTTTTGGTGACCAACACTAATTATAAATGATTTTTAGATTAAATATTATATTGATAAATACCTCTGCTGCTAAATATTCAAAAAATAATAAAACTCTAATAATTCCCCTTCCAGAAAAAGGTTGTCTAAATATTTAATTTTTCAAAAAAAAAATAGAAATATATACATGTGTATTTATGTATGTATGTGTGTGTGTATATGTATATAGATAGATACATATAAATAGAAAAAGCAGAAAATGATAATATAAATCAATATATGTAATAACGTTAACTAACCCTCCCCCCTATAGGAATTATTTGATTAC